GATTGCTTTTCGTTTTGTAAGGAATACGCTTTTGGTTACCTCATCGGATTAGCGTGGGAGTACTAACTTTGATGCAAGGGCGGTTCAAGGTTTGTTGGGATAGAAGCATTTCTGAATGCTCTGAATCAATTGCTCTTAGTTAGGTATGGGAGGCATATCTGGAGTGACCCAGCTTGAGGGATTATCCAGAATTGAAGCGCTGGAAATTGGTAGGTCGCCCTATGACTTCGTACAGCCCTCGTGGTTCCTCAAGTGCTACGGTAATTGCATCCAATAACGTCGGTTGATATGCATAGTCGGGCTGTGGCTGATAATAACATCAGTAATAAATCTTATTGTCCGGACTTGGTCGATAAACTTCACTCTATTCGAGTATACTCTCGCTTATTCTCCTGCTATCCAGCCCGTCGTTTCTGTAGCTTAGCGAGGCCACCGCCGAAGCTTTCTTCTCCAAGGGCCGTAGCTGGTTCATCATAGTTTGGCATATATTGCTGGCTCTTGGATCCCTGGTCTGCAAACACGAGACCCGAATATCGTTATGGAATGTTCGGAATATAGCATTGACCTGATGGGAGATTTGCAAGGACTGGGAGCTCAGTAGGTACTGGAATGGTAACACATTCTACGTGTGTTCAATGCTTTTTATTAAGATTACTAGCAGGCGAACGCTGCTACAACCGACTTGGGCTGCTGGTCAATGCATCTCCAGCAGGGCACCTCACAGGACATGTCACCGTAAAATAACTGCCCGGGAAAGTGATGTTTGAGCCGTTCAACTCCCGGCGAGTATGCAGGGTTTGAAGGCTGATCTCCCGGGAGAAGCCGCATTATTTGGATGAACTAATTTCATATCTGTTTCAGCCAGGGACATGATTTTCATACTCCGACGATGGCTGCTCCGGGAGCACATCTATTCATGCCACTATCCATCAATGGCATGAACACATTGAGAAGGTGATGAAACATTAGCTGCGAATTGCTTTGGTTGGGGCTGGCTTGCCGTTTCCTGCAACATGGAAGGTACTGGCCTGAATCGCGATAACGCAAGCTTCGGAACCCTCTCGTTCTGGCCTACCCTATGCATGTCGGATGATTTCCAGAATGCGGGGAGAGCCACGATCAAACAAGATAACACCTGCTGTTTACACAATATAATTGATACCTGCGTTTGCTCCCTGCGTTGGGGGGCAGCATTAGGCGGCATAGCGTCAAGATACTCCGCAACGCGTCTCCATTCATTCAGCAAGTACTGCATATGTAAGTGTATACACCAATGTTTAAGGAATAAGGAGCCAAAACGATGGACCAGGCATTGAACAATGGCATTGGATGGTGGCCAGACAAGCCCGCCCTGCCCGTCTCGATGACTTGTCAACGACCCCCATCCCACACAATCAAATATGTTTCAATATCAACAAATTATGAGGAAATCACGCGAGAATTATCAACCCTGGCACCAACTTATCAGATCCACGAGTTCATGTTGTGACACCCAGAGAGATGAATTTAGCTCGATAATAATCACAGCCTAATAAATTAGGAGGGCAACTAGCCTGTTTTAGTGCTGTCTCGCTCAAAAGGTGCCTGCCCAGTCATCGCCAGCTCAGAAAGAACGTCCGACATCGGCGCGATGGCTCATAGGCTGTTCTCTGGGTGTTTGACAGGGACGGATTTATTTATTGCATCCGCGCCAGCGCCTGTGCAGTTCACAAAGTACCCAGGTACTGCCTACTTCGGCCCCCCAGCCGCTACGGCCACGCGCACACCCCCCTGTGGAGGCGCGTCGAGAGCCTAGGTCACACTCCATCCCCGGTCAAGGTACCTACTTACAACAATCGTAATCCGACGCTTGGCCACATGATGCCGCCAATACGCAGGCAAGGTACGAGTACCTGGCAAGATTACTGAACCGTGTTCGGTTCGTTCCTGTGCCCGCGGCGCACGCGGGTGCTTTCAGGTCACTTGCTTAATGTCGCTGATTAAAGAGTTGGGGGAGTGAGTGGCCGTGCCTCACAAGACCACCTCTGATCCTCCCCCGGGTTTTCTTGTGCAGATCGCCTTTTTCCATTTCCTTTTGTGAAGGCCGGCTGGAGGTCCTCGCGGTGTGGGTTATTCATGCCCCAAAAATAATGAGGGGGAACGACAGGCTTGGCGGGCGATTGACTACATGCTAAGGCATGGGCGAAATGGGTTGATGCTTGAGCAGAATGGCCCCAGAAGTGCGCTCTGGCTACCCTCTCCCGTTCCCTGCCGCTGGCCCGTCTACCTGGCCACGCATGTTTCTCTTCATGGGATGGAGCGGTGTCGAGGCAAGGTGTGAAGCGTGCTCACCGAACAACTGGCGCCGGGCAATTGCACTATCTGCCGTAGAAGCCCATGGAAGAAAGGAGACAGCGCTGTAATTAGACAGCTGGTAGCCTGATAAGTGCTCTAACCTTACCAACTTTGGGGATGTCTTGCAGACGGACTCGCTAAGCATGTACCTTGCCAAAGCCGGCTGAGGAGGGGGAAGGGCAACGACCAGGGGGAGGGGCGTGTACAGGCGCTCCTTTGCCATGCCGGTGGATGCAGCCAAGACAGCTGGGAGATGCGAAGCACGAGAAACGATGCAGTGGAAGACAAGAGAGGGAAGTACCTAAAGCGATGTAGAGCAGCGGGAAACCGGGTCTTCTTTGGGAATGATGCACGCCCTCGATCACGTGACCGACCCATATTATCTCAACTAAAGCTGTCAACCAAGCGACTAACATGGCACACTGAAGCTCTTTTCATGTAAGTCAAGGACCTCATTTTTTAGTAATAATACTAATCATAATAATAAGCTAATCATAAATTATTCTATAATATTGAGCTCGATATTGTGTTTATTACTGGGTTAATCGTTTTGATATTGTGTTGCAATTCAACGCTGGAGGTTTTGGGCCACTGCCCTAGGTGGCTGGGTACTTGGGCGCCTGTAGTAAAGCAGGCACTCAAGTACCTAATCCTGGGCAATCAAGGGCCATTTGCTTCACACGGGCTGCGTTGTGGCATTTGCCCTGCGAGGGTGGCGCTCCAAGTCGCAGTTTGGCGAGCCAGCGTCTCATCGCATCGAGGGAACGCCGTGGGTAAGGGCTCAGCCGAGCAAGCCACAATGGATTTCGGGGGCCATTCTCCAGCCGAGGCAGGACGTAATATGTTCATTTACCACTTGCTCAACCTGGACAATGAGGAATGAATAAGTAATAATCTGTTATCTGCCAAGGTAATACTCCGTCAGCGTGGATGGATCTCGGGTAAACGCAGCACCTGCTTAGAATGGAATTGTGCATGACATGGGATCGATTGACTATTTGCTGCATGCCCTGGACTAAGGCATAGTTATGAACAATAGCGAATTGCTAACCCTATGTTGTTGGCGCATATGGACTCTGGTACCTGTCATGATTCTGATTATCTGGTGGAAAACTTTAAACGATTGAAGATGAAGCAGCAACCCTTGTTCAAGTTGAAGCCTTTCATGCGCATGGCGTCCTAGAGCAACAACGTGTCTAGTGAGCATCCACATACCATCGTCGATTGTAGCCATCCTTGCCCCTCTCCGCTTGTTATGGCATTTGCTTTTGCTGTTGACGTATGTTGCGTTTAGCTCTCTGCCCCAGTGTTACCAAATTGAGTGGGCACTGAGATGTGGCCATTCAGTCCCGCTGGGAGATTTATTAGTTACATCCCAGTTCTCGTTTCAACAGGTGGGCACCGGGGCTTCGCATCCGTATTGGCAACGGCGTCATGTTTCATCTAATAAAAAACCATAAGATTCCCGACCACGACTCCTAATGCCGGCGACGTAAATCACTCGAAATGGAGGATGGGGACAATGTTGATATTGCGCGCCAAGCGGGGGAACAATTGCGCGGATGTGTAGCTGAATCGGTCGAAGCCTAGAAGTCGTTTCCCCAGGATCTGTCTGTGCTAGTACATAGTACATCCCGTAGCCCAGGATTGTCCTCGACCCCAGGCCGCGAGAACCAATTGGATGCGACCTAGCCGGACTCGTAAACCAGGAGTGATCGACAGCCAGCAACTGCGTTCGTTCTATGCCATGTACGGCGAACAGCCGGAGGCAGCGAGCCTGCTGCGACCGCCGCGCGGGTCTGTTGAAGACGGCCGTGATATTCAGGCACGCTCGGGCCCTTCCGTCGAGTATAAGCGTTCCCTGGGTCAGCTTCTCCCTGCGTGCATTGGACACATCGTCAATGACTCGGTGCCCTGGCCCTCCACCTTCTAGCCTCGAACAAATTCAATAATGTTGTGTGGCACTAACTCCAGTTCCAATGCGCAATTGAATCGCCGTGCCCTCCCTCCGTTGTTCGTGTGTAGGTCTAGTACCGACCTTATGCAACCCTCTCGTCGGTCCATCTCTCGGAAATCTTGGCCTATAAGCTCACGGTGGCAATTTGGGGACCAGGACGCCCCTCATCCAACATGCTACCTGCGTGACCAATCGAAGTGGCCATTGCAACACGAGCTACCTGGGTAAAATTTTTTCTCCCCAAACAGTTGATAAACAGACAAACCAGTCAATGGATCGTGAGAATTTTCTTGCTGATGATACAAGGGAGGACTGACTCTGCATAACAGGCCCCCTTCAACTGTCGTTTCATTTGAATTCTTGTACATCTACTTAGCCTTTCATCTGACAGAATGTTAGTGCCTCACAGCGGCCAATCCCTAAGGCCTTGTTAGCGAGGGAGCCAGCGCTGTCCAACATCTACTTTATTACATGTACTTGGGAACGTGCCTTGCATGACTGTCTTGGCCCTCCGGTGGCTCGGACAACGACGAACAGTCTCGGGAAGCAGGCATGTAAGCGCACAGATGTAATATGAGGCTAGATCGTGATCGCGATTGAGGCTTTGAATTTTTTTTTCTTCACTCCCCCTTCAAGACCTCCAGCTTTCCCCCCGATGGGAAAAAAAGTCCTCGGGGTCATAGATAAGTAGGGTGATACGCTCACACCATCACCGCTGGAACACGTTATCCGGCACTCTGATTGGTTTGTTGCCGCTTCCCCCCTGCCACACCTCGCAACCCAACCGGCGCTTGGTGAAGATCATGGTAACGTTTCCGTCCGCACGGAATGGTCGAACCTTGATAATAAAGACATATCGGACGGGTTGGGGAAGGGAAAATGAAGAAAATTTGCCAACTCAATTTACTGGGCGGCGAATGGGAGCTGCAGGTTGACCAACCACCCCCCTCAGCCCTGTCTCTCGTCATCCCGATGCGGCGCTCCTGTTTTGGCTGCATGAGGATTCAGACGGAATACATTTTGGGGGTGTATGTTCCAGCTCTGACCAACGCGGCATGAAATTTTTGTGAACAATATGGGCATCGGATTTCATTCCAGCGTGCCTGGGTCACTCAGATGACGCAGACAGCGGAGAGGAACTTGGACTGGCCCACTACATAGGTTGGGAATACTTATACGCATCGTAATAATAGAACAGGCGTATTCAATGTCTACTATAAGCCTGGCCGCAGCACAAGCTATGTACATGGACAGCGCGGAAGTCGGAGGTTGTGGAGACCTCTTGGATCTCGGCGCCATCCTTGGAATTCTGTCATTCTGAAGGAACATGTCATCATACATTGCTCATGACAACGTAGCGGGTAGTAAGCACGTTGGTAATACGGCTACGATACTTATCAACGGGCATGAGGGCTTAGGGCTCCAGGTCGTACGCGGCTGCTAAGGCGAGGGTTTCGCGTTAGGGTTGGGGTTTAGGGCACCGGCCGACAACGCGGCGATTGGTTGCCCTGTCCAGACCATCGAGGATGTGAAGGGAGATCGCTCAGGAACAAGATTCCGGGGGGATGGATCAGGTCGGCCGTATCTTGGCCTGCCCGAAGATAGGCGCTTCGGCGGGCAGTTTGGCGGCTGCGTCGTCTCTGGGTCCGGCAATAATTAGAAGGGGGCAGAGAGTGCAGGGCGTCTCAATTTCACCACCAGGTCCAACACGGGCGTCCCATTCGCCGCCCGCCGCCTCGAGCTAGCCCTCTGCTTGGAGATGGGACGAGCGGCGGCCCAGCACTCAGAGCTGCCTACTGCTAGTAATGGCTATTCCAGCGGCCGACTACTACTCCTTTGGGGCATGCGTGCAGCAGCAGCATCAGATACGGACGGCCCCCGTGGGAGGCTATTTACTTGGCCCCATTTGGCCCTGGTTGGGCGCTCCCCGCTGGGAGAAGTGGATAAGGGGGGTTTAGTGATTGCAAGGTTAGGGCCAGAAAGGAGACGTACCGGATCCTTGTGATCGATCAGCAGCGTTTCTTCTCGATGTAGGCGCATCTCGATGAGCCTTTCGGGTGGAGGAATTTTGTTCGCCCATCAACCATCACCAATATTTTTTTTCCGCAATGCCCTTTTCCATGCTCTCACTAACCTTGCACGAGCTAACCAAGCCCTAAAACACGGAACGCTGAGGGCCTCGTGCCCGACCAAAGTACCGCCGTGGTTCGACTCTGGGCATCGAGCTGTCTAATTCTGGAAGCTTCGGTTGATGATGTGTACCTTCGGATGCTGCTCCCAACCAATTGGTAGGACGAAATTCTCGGTTCGGATAGTGGTGTCTGGCATACAGCGAATCCGTACAATCAGGGAGAAAGAATCCGTGACATTATAGCTCGCAAGACAAATAACACGCTGCATCGCGATGTGTTCCTGTGCTGGCCTACCACCACCTACCACCTACCACCACCATCACTGACGCTACGACTACATGCAATTGCTGGGCTCCTGCTGCTATCGTGAGACCACTTACAGGCAAACACAGCATTGAATCACCCAACAATTTCTTGACGACTGACAGATGTCGTCCCTGAACAGCCCATAAAAAAGCAAAATAACGTCACCCGCGGCCCGGCAGACGGCGCTCATCACTCAGATCATAAATGGGCACAGGGCCCAACACGCTGCCTTGGAAGGACAGTAAATTAGCGGTTTTACTCAGCCCCAACGCCCCCCATTAGGGAACAGCGCACTCTGGGTACGTCCATTCCCGTCATTGTCAGGTCAGGCCAGCCCCAGGTGAGGTCAGGCCAGAGTCTCAGTAAACTTTTGGGGCCACGCCCCCCCGGTCCCCCTGCTGTTCAGTGGCCGCGCTGAGCCCATTGGGATTGAGGGAGGCAATGTAGGCCAGGCGGGTACTTTGTCCCCTCACTGGCTTTGGCCCAGCGAGGCCTGTACTCAGCAGATTGAAGGGGGGATGGGGAGAGGGCCTCAAGAGGTACCGGATACCACAGGCCTCCGCGTCCACTTTACCCATCTTCAGTCTGATGATCAGCCAGGATCACCCGACCTGCTAATGATTCCACACCCACTCCACCTCAGTAAAGTGGTTTCTTTGCCCAAACAGTACCTCTGTATTCATGGCCAGGCGAGAGCCATGGCTCCCCAGGTCTGGTCAATTCGACGGCGACAGACGGGATGGCATGAAACAAAGGGGAGGAGACGCCTAGAATCTCTTTCCCTGGCTGTCTCGACGTGGCGACCGGAATTGCCGTCGTCTTATTCTGCCCTGTGGCTATTCTGGGACACAGGCTGTAATACTCCGTTGCGAGAGGCACCTTATAGAGGAATGAATACCTCTAATGGGCTCATCTCGAATCCACCACCCACACAGGCTCAACTCCACACAGCCACTCAGGACAGACACCCATCGCCGACGACTGTGGCTACAAACGCTGGGGCTAAGCATAAGTTGTCTTGCTCGCTGAGGCGCACGCAGGCGAGACGCGCATCAGTCTGGGATTAGTCAGTGAGGGGAGTGGGTAAGTCCATACACCTCACCTACCAAGACTCTCCCAGGTGACAGCCTGTATGAGGAGACGAGCGAGGCGATATACAGGCGCGCTCACCTGGGCCACACCTCCAGACAGAGGTATCTCAAGACTTGGGAAGGGGGGGCCCACCGGCCCCAGTCCAGGCAAGGTACCTGCTACTCAGTGTTGGCTCACCCCTCTGCGCTAAGTCACCACCTCCCCAGGCTCCATTACTACTGCCTACCACCGCTGTGAGTCTCTCCATCAGTGTATACGTACGCCCCCCTCCCCCCGCAATGCCACACACACACACTCCCTTCCAATGGCTCCGAACGCTCCTCCTCCTCCTCCTCCTCCACCAAAATTATTATTTCTCCTTCTCTATTATTTTGCTCGACAAGAAATTCTTCCTCGATTGTATACGCCTAGCTGTTCACCCGTCCCTAAGTTGCTTGCTTGGCTCCTTGCTTCAAAGCCCCCCTACGCCGCTGAATCCACGAGAACGCTACGGCCCGGACAGCTGTCTGTCCTCGAGCACATCCTCCCTCAACCGCAATGGCATCTTCTCGGGTATGACCTGTCTCTACATCATTCGTTGACTGAGGAGAGAGGAGGAGCCTGAGACGCCTGGCTAGGGCAGATTGTAGTGCCATTAGCCCGGCGTGTCCCAGGCTCCTCCAAGAGCTGGTTCCAGCTGTTCCAGATGCGAGTGAGCGAGCACTGTGCTGACTGTCTTTCTTTCCCAATGGACAGGAAATGCAGCCTTCCGTGAGGCCATTGTCGCATCGACCATCAGTTTCGAGCCCTCCGTCGAACGGCCCTCCCGCGCGCCAGACCCATGCCCGCAACAATTCCCACTCCCTCTTAACAAGCTCCCTCAACCCCAATCACCGTGTGACTCGCCGCAAGTCGGTTACCAACCCTAGTGCCAACGTTGCCGCTCTCACGGCTGCTCTTCGAGATGCCAATGTTTCCGCCGCCGTGCCGATTGCGAACCCCTCGTCTCGACGAAATACAATGTCCAAGGGCGCACGTATTGTCTCCGGGCAGAACAGCCTTCCGTCTCCGCCGGCCAGTCTCCCAAACAAGGGCATTGCCGATGTGAAGCATGAAATGACTGGTAGTGCCATTGATGATACCAACGACAGCTCGGCCGACGAGGATGGGAACCCTCAGAAGTCCCGGATCCGACGTGCTAGTGACGGCCAGCCCCTGACCAAGGACGGCAAGAAGAGCAACCGGGCCGAGCTTCGATGCGAGAAGTGTGGTAAGGGGTACAAGCACAGCAGCTGCCTGACGAAGCATTTGTTAGTCTCCCTTCTGGCATCTCCCTGTGTAGTCCCATCCCCACTTCGTATTGTGCATGTCCAGCATTTGCCCAGAGTGGGATGAAGACAATGTGACATTTGTTGACTTCTCTGGCTAGGTGGGAGCATACTCCTGAATGGTCGTATACCTCTAAGCTGCTCATATCCAAGCATCAGCAGGTTCAGCTGCTTGAGGCCGCTTCGGTCTTGGTGGCCATGAACGACAATGAGCAGGAAAGGTCACCCACACCTCCTCACTCAGCTAAAGATTTCCCCAGCGACCGGGAGTCATCATCCCCTGCTGCGTCTGGGTACTCTGAGCTGGTAGATCGCCAAAGCTCTGCGGACACCACCCCGCCACCTGTGTCTGAAGGTCTTAACTTTACTACGCCATCGTATCGTAGTAAGCGTCACAGCAGCATTGCTGGGCTCTCGAGGAGCTACCAATCAGCTCCTCTCTCCGCTCACCTGACATCAGGGAGCGTACCACATGGGCACGGGTTCGGTCACTCTCGTCAGCTCAGCACCGACCGACCAACATCGTCAGGTATCAACACCACCAACCAAGACGATCGGGATCTTGCTGCCGCTGTGGAATTGCTGAGCTGCAGTTTTGGGAGCAACAATGGCTCCCGGGGCACAGTGACACTCCCCGCAGATGCCCCTCCCGTGCCTCCTGTCCCTATGCAGTACCTTGAGCAGGCTACTTCCTTTAGCAGCGCGGGCTTTATCAACAGCTTCCCGAGCCGACAGCCAGAAAGCTTCACCCGTGGAGAGTTCCGACGGGGAAGCCGAGATGTGAGGATGGATGACAAGGCTGACTCAGTCATGGATGATGACGAATTTGATATGCGATCCCGTGCTCGGAGTGATGAGGACGATGATGGTGTATTTGGTCGCATGGAGGAATAATCATTGCTTTTGTTTACCATTAGTACAAGGTGGCATATCTCGGAGTCGGGCACACATTTATGACTCGGGAGTTGGATTTGATAGGCATTAGCCGGGAGGATTCGGTCTTTTTTGTTGTTACTTTTCTCATTTTTTCCCTTTTTTGTATCAGGATAGCCCCGACTTGTATGAGGTGGTTCGCTCCGCCGCCAATCCTTAGCACCGAAGAGTGGAGGGCCCGTCCGGGTTGATGGGAACATCGATATGGACGCGATAGCATCGCCACGAGGTTAAAGTGAGGATTAGGAGGGGCGTCGAGCGAACACCCACCAAATATATGAAATAAAGAACTCGAAAACTCACCAAGAATGAAAGAGGGGAAGCATGGGGTGATATCAATCGTCGACTTGCACCGGATCTTCGCTGCGTGACGTAAACGAGAGAGCAGGTGCTGGGATCAAGGAAGGACAAAAAAAGGCAGGAGATCGTGGTAGAAGGGGTTGTCGGCTCGTTGGATCCAGATCTCTTCCCAGTACGGGCATAGGTATGGGCATGAGAGATGAGAAGGGGTTCAAATGGTCGATCGCTCGGCGGACCTTTGCCTGGAAGCATGCCTGTTGGTTGGGATATAAGCGAGGAGAAAGTGATCGGCCGCCCTCCTGAAGGAATCGCGGCTCTCTTCCCGAAACATGGGGAGGTTTGTCAGATTTGCTCGGCGAGGGGAAGAGCTTGATAAGAAGAAGATGTAAATGAGGAGGTAGCGAACGAAAGAGGGAACCCAAAGATAGGGAAGGGAGTGGTTTGGCCAACTCGCTTGAACGTATTAGTCTAACGAGCGGGGAGGATGCTATTAGCCTTTCCCAGAGTGACAAGTAAGTCAGATCGTAGTCTTGAGGAGCGAGAAGGAGGGAAGGGAAGCGGAGAGGAAAAGCAAAGAAGAAAAACACCGGTAAGCCTAAACGCGTCGATTTCGACGACTCTAATTAATAGACGAGAGCCACTGCACTCATCGCGAAATGATACTTTCCTCTTCTCTCTAATCGCATGCAAGCATGTGGGATCGGCCATCGAGATAATGGCCGTGATAGGCGACCAAGTGGGGGCCGCAGTGTGGTGCAGGAGGAAGAAGGAGGTTTCCCCAGTGATGCTTGTGGGAGGGGAGCCCCACCAACTGACGATGATGCGGGACCACATCATCAACAAGCACCTGTGGTCCAAGACAGCCTTATCGCCACACATCTGCGCAGACTCGTTTGCTTCCCGCCAACACCACCCAGAGGACAAACGCCTCTTTGGTTACGACCACCTGGCTCTTGACCGGAAACTAATATTTATCAAGCCGTAATTGTTTCCCTCCTCCGGCCAGGTCTGCCTGTCCGACAGAACCTACGCAGCACGTAGCTAGCTCCCGGCGGCTCGTTCCACACTCTCTCTGTCTTTCCTGTCTTCGTCTTCTTTGACCAACACCCTTCCTGAGACACCACTCGGGCCGCTGTATGTTATAAACATACAAATCCATAATTTACCGACCTTACGAAACGAAAATGGCACCATCTAGACGAAGCGCCAAGGCCGCAGCTGAGCCCATCGCCCGCCCGGCCGTCGACAGCAACGAGCTCACCGTCGTCGACAAGATCACGAAAACGGCGGAACTCGCAGTCCCAAAAGAAATCACCGCTGTAGCCAAAGGCCGTGCGGCCCGCCCGACATTACCTACCCAAGCCCAGTTCCCTCTGGCGGTGGCCCTGAGCTTCGCAACCGCCGGCCTTGGCTATCGCGTGTTGGGAGAGCTCACAAACAACGAGCTTGCGGCCGTGACCCAGGCCCAGGATACATGGGGAGAGGTGGCGGTTCTAGCCGGATGGAAAGTGTAAGTTGGTTCCTCCTGGCGGTCTCTCTCCAGAGGCGCACGGCGCCCTGACCATTCTTGACCCCGCCGTGTGTCAGATGCCAAAGGCATGGCATTGGGGTAGCATTGATTTGGAGGTTTTGCTGACATTCTGCGACAGGCTCGAGCTGGCTGTCGGCTGGTTCGGCAATTTAGACAGCCTTGATGTTGCGACGATGAACCTCTTGTCGCATGGACCGGTTGTAGGTCCTCCCCCAGAACCCGTCCTGGTCCCGGTGGCTTGCTGATATCTTTGACCCAACAGTTCTACCTCTTGAGTACCTTCTACAACCTGAGCCCTTCGACGGCCATATCCGCTCTGCTCGTTGACATTGCCTCCGTGGCCTTGCCATTCTACGGCCTGCGCCCTCTCTCGGCAGTCCACACCCCTTCTGCCAAAGTCCCCAACCGCGAGCTCACGGATATTGGCCTTCAGATCTACACAGCTGCTCTCGCGACTGGAATCTACACCGTCATCATCGTGCTGTCCCTGCAATTCCTGCTCCCTAGAGTCCTGATCCTCTACTTCTCCCACCTCCCGACCCTTGTCCCTGCTTACACGGCATCGTACACGACCCTCCTCCCCGTGACTGTCGCGTTCGGCGCCTCAGCTAGCAACTTCATCTTCGCACCCTTTGCTACCACGGGCAAGGCAAGGGAGGACGAGCGCATTGGCCAATTCGACCCTGCGAGCGCCAGCCTGGGTGAAACCGTCTGGTGGAATGTGTGGGGGTACACCGCGAAGACCAAGGTTGTCATCCGTCGCACGGCAGTAATTGCCCTCGTAACGGGCATCAGTACCTATCTGTCCTGCACGATGACAATCTACGGCGTCGAGTCAACAGGTGCTGCGGTCTACGCAGCCGTCTGGGTGATTGCAGCCCTGTTTTCAGGTGTCGGCCTGGGCCTGGTGGGTGGAGATTAATATCAATTCAATGCTAGAGGCCTGGTCCACAGCTCTGTTCAGCCCTACCGGGCGGAAGCATCCGCCAAGGCATATTTTCCTTATGTAGCGGTATTTTGAGGTCTTGCACTTGCTTGCCGCCCCTACTAGTCTCGTGGGTGCATGGTAATATCAGTAGCGTGTATGTGGTGCGACAAGTCCGGGGCTGGGTTGGATCAATATGATGAGTCTTTACTTGAGGTCAGCAGTGGATGAGGAGGCTTGGAGAGCTCTCAATGTCTGCTGGGCTGGGCTGGCTGCCGTAATACACCTTTTTCTTGTATATTTTTAGTTTTATGGCTGAGTCTTGAGTCAACTATTTTCGAGTTAAAGATAGAATGATCACCGCTGTTACGGTCTGACGTCGCACCGGCTAATATGAAATGATACCTACATGCAGGAGGGCTGTGGCTGGCTGCATGTTGCGGATGCTGGAGGGACGCCTGGAAGCTTTCCAACGGCCTCCACTGCATTGACCGCCCGCGAATGGCATGGCGGTGGGTGGGTAGACACCGGATCTAAATAGAACTCCAGCCATGCGGGTCATCAGCTTGTGTTTGGCGTCGCAAGTCTCGTGTTCTGTACGAAGCTAAATGGCCACGCAGATCCGGGTCAGGCTACGCATTTGAGGAATTCTTGCCCTTGGCGCCGTAATTGACCTGTCGTAGCATCTTCCGCGGTATCCTGGCCAGATTGGTTGGAACATTATCGCGGGGCAGCCGGCGCCTCCCTCCGTCCTCAACAGTGGGAAATCCCAAAACCAATTTTAGAGCTGTCCTTATCCTTCTTCTGTCCAAGTCACCCCTCGTTCCAGCCACAAACCCAACACCTTCAACGGCCCCCCCCTTTCCCCCACCTCCATTTAAAAAGTCCCGTGCCAACTACAAGCCCTCGTTCGCCATAGTGGTGGGCTAGTTGAATAGTTTCCGACCGTGTTGTCGGCTGTCAGAACTGCAGGGCCCACTTCGGTCGCCTTACCAGCAAGTGAGTTCAATGGCCCCTGTCACTCACCCTTTCAAAAACTTGAAGAGGGGCGTTGGACCATGATTTGTTAAAGCTCCCACAGTTTTGCCTGCAGCAACAGGCTCGAGTACGCCAATTGTCGAACCGACTAGCCGCACCCATTCCCTGCAGTCTTGAGACGCCTTGGTCCGTCTCCATCTACTGCTAGCGACGGAGGGAACGATCAGAGAGGGTAGACGACACCTTATTCACTGAACCGGGGGGGAAGTACTGTGGTGGCATGTGATGACGGCAACGCCCAATGTTGTATTCACCCAGGCCCTTCTCTCTGCAATATCTATGATGCCTTTGTATGCTGTTAGCCTCTGGTGATAATTGCGACCACTATTCCACTGTTTCGTCGTGGCAGGAAGCCTGGCTCAAGCTATAAGATGAGTTTCTTCTCCGCGTCATCTCACAGCGCGGAGAACACGCCATCGACGACGGCAGCTAGCGCTCCAACCACGAGCAGCCCGGATTTTGACCCCGAGGCACACCCTAGTGGAACTATCTCGCCAGAAACTACCCAGGCAGGTCAAACGGCCTCTGGAATGGCGTTTTCCCAGAACCCCTCCCCACCCTACGTGGGATTAGAGACGAGCCCAGTGCAATCCACATATCGGAGCTCGCGAAGCATCCAGAGTGATAACGAGCTTGATCTATACGGGCCTCTTGATATTAGGGGTTCTGTGAGGTCCGGCGGTAGCATAAACTTCGATGGCGATTTCATCGTGCAAGATACGATTGATGCATATGGCGGTATCAAGATAAAAGGCAATGTTCGCAGCGAGTGGGTTGGCACCTGAGCCTGGTTTTCCTGTCTTCCAAGTATTCTAACGTTATGCTAGGGGAAGAATAAAGGCGTATGGCAACATCGATCTCAATGGTTGCCTCCTAGCGAAGTGAGTATGATGTTGCACTCGGTTGAGATGGAACTGGCCTTGCTGACCCGGATCTGAATAGGGATAAAGTCAAGGGATATGGGAAGCTGAGAGTGGTGGGAACCCTTGAAGGCAAAGAGCTCGAGATCTATGGCAATCTCAGTGTCAACGGGCGCCTGTAAGTGCACCCTGTCTTGTCCCTTTGATGTCGTTTGGAGACAATTACTGACAGTGTCTTGATCCGTAAAGGCATTGTAAACGTTTGGTTCTGTATGGATCGTTGACACTTATTGGGCCCGGTTCAAGTTATCATGTTGAAAACTCGGAAGAGGTGGCGGGGGCTATTTTGAAACGTGATCAAGAGGCTGATTGGGATTGGTGACGGCCGGTGTCAGGTTTTTGCTCTCCTTCCAACTCCCCTCGGAGGACCGGCAGGCTTTGGATCAACTTCATCTTTTCGGCCTCGAACGCATGGTGTTCCTGTTCTCGAGACGATGTGCGGGGAATGACAAAGACTGCTTCGCCTCGTTTGGTAAGAGACCAAGAATCTTGCTCGGATCAACCTTTGTGTTATTATTGATGAACCTTCTTCCGTCATCACTGCCGGATAGAAGTCATACGAAGAGTCACTTCATGTATGGGAGCTTGGGTTTCTTCCTTACCTGTTAAGGTTACTGGCCGGACCAGTGGGAACCCGCAAATAGTCGAGGGTTCACAGCTGAGAGCGACCTTTTTTTTTCTGAGGGGCGGTGGAGAGGAACAAGAGACAGGGTCGATAGCTGAAAAGAATATTTGGGATCAAAACCAACATGCAACACGGGGTGCGATGAAGCATTCGGGGCTAGAGGAAAAGTGACGATATCTATCAGACGTAAATGGCCAGAAGAGAGAAGGAAGGAAGAAAGGAGGAAAGTACGGGTTCAAATCTGGGTCATCAGCTGAACGGAGGCGTGTGCTGCTGCTGCCGTCGACATACATGGTTGTACTCGCACTGGTACCTGTAGGTGGCTCGCCCCAGCTTCAGGCGAGCGTGGGAAGGGTGCACGGACCCGCCGGCACCCGTTGGTGCTGGCCACAGGGGACATCTATGGGGAGCCTAGGGGATTCTAGCCTATGAGCGCCGCCTGTGAGAAGAGCTGGGCTTGGCTGCGCGACCCACTCTAGACGACTTGATTGTCTGCTTTGGGCTTGCAACGCGAGCCCATCATTGTGCTGCAAAGCTGGCTAACCTAGCTAACCTATAGCTGGACCTGCATGTACCGCAGAACGTAGCGCAGTCCTAGCAGCCTGTGCGCGCGCGCCAGTGAGTTCCGGCGCTGATTGACACGCGCCACCCAGAGAGAACGAGCGATCCTGTTTGATGGCAACAACCGAAGCAGCCACAACTGGAGTTTGCGCATTGCTCACTCAACCGCGCACAGGAGCCGTCTCGCGCGCGCCACTTGCCCTCTTTCGAATTTCTGCATTTAAAAAGCCACTACAATGGCTGCCGAGCCCACAGCTGACAACGCGGGCGACACGCTGATGGCCGACCTTTCTCCAAGACAACAGGCTACCCAACGATTTGACGACGGAAGCCCGAGGCAAATCAGGAAGACGATGGCCACGTTTGAGGAACATCGATCGGACCCTGATGCGCAGACTACGGTTACCGATTTCCTCGACTTCACCGAGTACCTGCCATCAGATATCATACGCTCCCTTACTCTCATCGAGAAGCACGACCACCAATATGTTGATTCGTCCACCCGGGTCTACGAGCTCACTAAAACATGGGGCCAGCTTCCTACACTCCAGGCGAACGAACGGCCGTCGCCGGTCCAGCTGCGCGCAGACATCTCAGAGCACTTGAACCAGGCGGTTAGCTCCCGCATCTTTGCTCATGCCGAGTCGCTGCGCATGTCTGAAAACGTGAACCGCCACTATAACAAGGCTAAGCTTCTGCTGTCAAAGCTCCAGGCGATGCTGGACAACTATCCTACCGAGAAGCAGCAAGCGTTGAGCCCTGGTTTGTCGCGGTCTCCGCAACTTTCCAGGGCCAAGTTACCTGGTCGTTCTGGGGAAGACGGCGAGCAAAAGGTGCGACAGAAGCGGATGCCGAAAATCATGGTCCCTGGCGAAGTTCTTGCACCGTATGATATCGAATACGATACCTTTACCGATGGGAGCGATGTCAGTACAGATAATGATGATGACGATGTGCCGGCAACTGTCCGAAAAAACATGTCTGCAACGCCCCGTATCAAATTGGTATCCAGCACCCCGAGACCTCCCAAATCTTCCCATCGCTCTACCCGTCCTGCTTCGCACACAACTCCTGCAAGCGCAGAGGCTGTAGCGGCCCAAGCGGCAGCCCTGCTTAACCCCCCACCAGAGAATGCCGTCATTGGTAGCACCGATGCGCCTTGGCTTCAACTCACCGAGTATGAGTTGGCAAAGCTGCGAAAGCGGATGAAGAAGAATGCCACCTGGACACCAAGCGAAACGATGGTGGCGAGGGAACTGAGAGCCCTTGGGCGTGGCCCAGAGGATTTCAAAGAAGCCAAGAAAAACGCCGAGAAGGAGGGTGGGACCTTTGAGTTTTCGATCCCAGCTGCACTGGTCGATGATGGGTCGGGGACACAGCAGCTTCCGGCGGGTGCCATCAGTGTTGACTCTGCGGCTATTGATGAGCTGCCGATGAGCAATAGGGGGATGAAGCTAAACGAGGCAAAGAAGTTAAAGAGGGAGGCTCTTGCTAAGCAAGCCGCTGAAGAAGCCGAGGAATCAGCTAGGAAGATGGCCGAGGCAGCGAAGCTATTGTTGGGTAGCAATGGGACGCCTTCGGGTGGACCATCAGAGAGTCCGAAGGAATCTGGCGGTAAATCAGTCAAGACGACACGCGCAAATTCAAGGTCGAATGCGAAACGCAAGCGGGATGCCGAGTTATTGAAGGCAGAGAGTGAGACACCGGAAGGTTCGGACTCACCCTCCCGCCCGGTCTTGAAAAGGACAAAGACAGAAACGCCAGTACCCCCTCCGATTCCCGCAACTCCTAGCCAGGCCAGTGCAAACGCAAGCGAGGCACCGGCTTCAGAGACACAATCCAACACGCACTCTCAATTAACCTCTGGAGTCCAAGGAGGTATACATGTTGAGACCCCAGTGCCGATTCCAATGCCTCCTCAAGTGTCTTCTAATTCAAGCACGCCAGCCCCTACCAAACCCCCCTCAAGCCCACCCGCATCAGATGGTGCCAACCAGGCGGAGAGCTCTTCAGTCTCTCTCAAGCCGCCGGTAGTAGAGACTTCTGTCCCTATGACTCGATCTGGAAGGCGCAAGTCCAACACGCCAGTTCCGCCGCCATTACGGGAACTGCCTTCACGCGAGGTTTCCAGGCGTGAGACTCGCGGAGGTGCGGCCAAACGTTTGCAACAACAGCCACAAACCCCCGCAGAGCCTCCAGTCCCACCCCATGAGATTCAGCTGCCGACAATAGAGCAGAGGAGTCGGAGATCAGCCTCACGAGCGACCACACCGGGAAAGGGCCCCGAGGGGAATCAGGGTCGCCGACCGGTATCGCGAGGTAAATCAGTTGGCCAAGAGTCCCTAGCTGCTGACCGACCACGTCGTGCTAGCACTGCCCGAAACACACCGGCACCCGAGTCTCGCCCCCCGAAGCGCACCAAGCGGCCCGCCCCCGGTGTCGTGAGCATTACTAGAAGCGGCGGTAACAGCGCCGTTGGTAAGCGAAAGGCAGCACCAAGAAAGAAACCCCGCACCAGAAGGGAAAAGGATCAGGACGGAGAGATGGAGGATGTAGACGATGAGGGCAACCCCATTGACCCAAACGAGCCGCGTTACTGTAATTGTAATCGCGTGAGTTTTGGCACGATGATTCAGTGTGACAATGTTGACGTAAGTTCCTCTTAGTTTTCGAGACTATACTCTTCTCTTTCCTTGATTTGATGGATTGATTTGCTGATGCTTGCGTAGGGCTGCAAAGGGGAATGGTTCCATCTGGAATGTGTTGGATTGGAGGAAATCCCAGCTCGCACAACAAAATGGTACTGCCCGGACTGTCGCCGGGTTTTGAACATTGGAGAGAGGGGTGAGGTTAGTGCAAGAGGAGTCAGGAAATGAAGACCGGATCACGAAGTTTGGGCGTTTGGGAGTAAATTGCTAAAATAGCAGGGTGGGTTTGAATTTGTTGGGGATTTCAAGCGAACCGTAAGGTATAGATAAGACTGAAGGAATGAGACTAAGGTAGTGCGCGTACATGTTACAATACCTTTGCAATGTGCTTTCCAGATTCGCACCGAAAAGCCATTAAGCGATTGGAGATTCTCAGAAATGACTGCTGGAAATATAGCCTGTGAGGAGGGCGAGGCCGCATTGCGTATTGAGAATCCCGTGTCATAGGAGCCAGTGAAATATTGCTTCTACAACTATTTTATAGGTTTTCAATAAGACCTTGGTCGATACTACATGTCAATTTATTCTCCTACCTCTCTGTGATAGGCATAGATTTCAGAGCATGACGGCGGCTGAAAGCGTCATAGGAGTCATTAAGCTCGGGGAGAAATTGCAGTCTATAGAGGTAGATAGCTAACCAATTCAACGGCAGAGGGAATCAAGCTTGCAGCCTCGTGGCTCACCCGAAAGCTGCGCCTTGCACGGTAGACTGACGGCGGCCGTGTTGGCCCCGGCGAACCTCCGGAAGCAGCTTCACGTACGACGGTGACAGTGCCGTTCATTCGGGTCCGGCGACAAAGCCGGAACCGAGCAGGGCTGCGGATTGAGGGATTTATAATGAGGATGGATGCGTGCAAGATGAAGCTTGACCTACCATGTTATTGTCTATTCTTTGTGGTTGCACTGCAGGAGCACAGTAGCGTTCGCCATGGTTCCTTGAACGGCAGAGCAAACATGGTGGGGGTTTCATCACATCCGTTGATTGCCATGGCGGGGTATAAGATGTCGTGGAGGGGCTCCGATAAGCGGCGCTGGCCACCATTGCTGCCGCCAAACACTTTATCCGCGTTTAGCTATGTTATTCTCAGGCAGATGAAGGGGTTGTGCCGCGCGAATACAGGCCATCCGTCGCCGTAGGCTGGTGAGTACCGGTCCCTCTGTAAGGCCGTCGGCTCTCTCCAGCCTTATTTGCCCGAGGGTGGTGGGGAAGAAGGTTGTACATGTACTGCATGACGACCAGGACGAGGGAACGGCTTTCCACACGGAGACAACGCTCCTGAGAATTATGATGACACGAATGCACTGGCAGTCACCTCATTGGACTCTCAAATGGCCACCAAGCGATCATGGAAGAACAGGGTGGGAATTGACGGAAGGCTGGGCGGGGCACCACAGATGGTATCGTCATCAGTATCACTCGCTTTGCTGCCACGCTCATGTGACACTTGGCGAAGATTCGCGAATTGGTTGGTCATCTCCGGATGGGTGCCGTGGCCAAATGTATAATTTACCTCATCTGAGGTTTTCTCTCTCTCGTTGGAATGCGAGACGTTCCTTTTCTGGAAACATGATGGACGAAGATAGTGCCGCCCCGGTCGCAATTGAGGCTGAACGGGAGCAACGGAAATTCGCCCACTTGGACCCAGCTTGGCTTCAGGGCCCTGGTACTCATTGTTCTGTAGACAGTCAACACATAGCCGTCTATCCTTGGTCCCCTAGGAAGAGCACTAGGTATTAGTACCTTATACTCATATCTAAGATTAGAGGCTTCTGGCAGCCATGCTGAGCTAATATGATGACACGCCCTCTAACCAGCCCGATCCAGCCTCGCGTCAATGATGTCGGCGTTCGCTCTAAGCCAACCGAGGACCTATGATAAAAGCGAAATCACGTAGAAGAGGCTGGAAGGCTGAGTGTTTTGATAGGCGCCAACACGTCCAGCGACGCGACGCCCTAGATCCAAGCCACGCGGTAGCGGCGAAGCCACTTTCGCATGACCAGGCTGCTCACCTGACACATCTCTAGCCCGTCCGCCAGAAGAAGCCAGAGTTATCAGCTGCGGATGTGGTGTCGAGCTTTCGAAACGGCCATCGCGGCGTGATGGGATGCGACGGGCCCCGCCCTCCATCCCACGTTTTGCCATCCCAATAGGATACTGGCGGGGTGTCTGATGAGGGCGAGGGATGGGACGTATGCACTTCCCGAGTAGGTCAGCAGCACTGCGAGGGTCCCACACATGCGCGGGAGGCATGCAGCAGTCCTGCGCGCTGAGGAACAAATGGATGCAACCGCAGGCCCAGATGCCTCGTCCTGGTCCTGATCTCACATGCATGGATAGGTTCGCCATGTGCAGATAGAGGTGAGGTGATCAAAGCAAGGCACCGCGCGTTCCTGGCAGGAACACAATACAACAACAACCCCGAGATACGATTTCACGCGGAAGGGGGGGAGGGTGTGGGAGGGCCACCAGGCAGTGCCGTCATATACTTTCCTGGGTGATTACCTAGACAAAGATTCCAGCGTTTTGTTCCCATGGCCGCTCTTGTCCTGTCACTTATCAGCCAGTCTGGCCTAAGGCAAGGGGTTTATTGTTTGCCAAGTAGCTGGACCCCCGTCCCCTCGGAACATGTAGGTACATCCATTGCTCTAGGTACCTTGATGCCATCGACGAGTGTAAGACAAAATACTACCTGCCTCGCTTGCCGGGCTGGGACTGGGAGTTGGTATGGCGGATGGCGGATGGCGGATGGCGGGATGAGCAACACTCAACATGATATGATGGAACACGTAGAAGAGGTACCCGCTGCGGGATATCGAGCGTGAATATACTGTGTTACAGGCATCTGAGGAGGCCAGGAGAGATGCCGCCCCCCCGCATCGCTGGCGGCTGGCCTGGCGGTGGTACTTCCAGGGGTCCATGTTGTAGGTCTGGTGTCACTCCCGTCTGATACCTAGAACAACCTCACTGGGCTGGGGCGCCTGGAGGCAGCTGGGGGGCTAGTCCAGGCTGAGGAGGGGCGTGTGCCTGCCTCTTGTCCACTGTACCCGGCGTGACTGATACCTAAAGCCTCGCCCCGCCTTTGGCCTCCAGGCCGCCTGGTCCCTATTATTCAAGCTTGACCATCTCCCTTGCTCCGTCTCCGTCGTTTCTGTCTCCTCCTTATACCAAACCAGACAAACCAAACAAGCTCGCAGCAAAACCCAGCATTTAGGAAGCGTCTCTCTCTCATATCTCTTCTGTATATTTCCATTTGTATCTTTTTGCATCCATCATAGAATTTCTGTCACCGTCTCCGTGGCTGCGCCGCGGTCTGAAGCATATATCTTATACCCCGACCGAATCCATACTACCAGCCTGATACTGGACCACCGGCCTCCCTTATCTTAATTAAGCTCCGCCCTCGCCAAGTAGAGAGCCCCTCCAAGCCGTATCGTCAACCCCCCCGACGCCGCGCCTTGAACAGAACAGAACACAGAAAACACTCGTTCCAAGTAACCAAGACTGGTATCGCTGCACATCGCTTGTGGCAGTACTGGATCTTGGGAGCAGGCAACTGCTCCGACTTGGAGTGAATCACTCGCTTGAATGCCTAGTACGTGCAACTCCCACTCAACCGTCGCCTAATACCGCGGCTCGCGATAAGAGCCATGAATGGGCGACGCGACTGCTCCTTCTTCACGGGAGTCGTTGCGCATGTATTTCCCAACTAACAAGGCTGTGTACTAGAGAAGGATAAGAAGCATGCCAAAAACCATAGCGGCATCGCTGCGGCGGTGACAGAGCAGACTGCTGGCAAGTTCGCGTGAGTACCGTACCTCCCCTCCCCCGCCGAGTGACTCTTGTCTCTTGGTCTCTTGGTCATCTCGCCTGCCCCGTGACTCCCTGACCTTGGTTGGCTGACCAGAGATGCTAACGTCCACAACTATAGCTTGTCCAACGGAAACCAGAGCTACGGAAGTAGTGACAACTCTTCAACCAACCCGAGCCTGCCCACTTCCACCGAGTCGACCCCTCCCATTCACACCCCTGACGTGTTGAGGCCGACTTCCGTCACTGACAATGCGATACAATCACCGTCGCCTTTGCTGGATGCCATATCCAACGCTTCGATATCTGCAAGCACTGTCCCAAGCATGAATAATGACTGGGCCAGGGCCGGGGGTATGGCTGGTTCCCCAGGCAATCTCATCTCCATCATGGGCGACTCGCCCCCGACACAACCTTCTTCGTATGAGGACTCGTCTCTTCGCGCTCCCAGTGGCTGGCCTGCTCAGCGAGCACTTGCGACCCCATCCCCTGCGTCTTTGTCTCCCCCAAACAACATACGACGCCCGTTGAGTTTCCAGCTCGAGGCCCATTACCAGCATCCTGAGCCGCTGCCTCAAATGTCGTCAGCTGCCCATAGGAGGAGCTCTCTGCACTCTCAGCTCTCGCATGCCCGCAACAGCTCGCATCCTCCACTCCCACATCAGCCGCAACAGCACTATTACGGAGCTCCGGATCTTGACTTGACACTTAGACCACGGTCTGGCATCACTCCTGGAGACCGGGGCTATTTCTTTGGGTTTGATAGCCTCCCTGTCATTGGTGGCGTGCAGGGTGCGGCTGACAACGTCGTAATTGCGGGCTTTGAAGGTGGCCTGGACGTCTATGCGGTCTCGAAGAAGGGCATCGAGCCTGTTGCCGGGCTTAAGGGGCTTCGGGGCGGCGTCGTACATGCCAAGATTCTACCATGGACCGTCACCGGCGAGCAAAGGGGCATCTTCCCCCTCATCGCAGTAGTTCTTCACGGCCCGGTACTTCCTTCGGGTTCGTCCGAAGCTGCTCCCGACCTGAGCAACAATCCAAGCCCGCGACTGGATGGCGCTGCCAGTCCTCGCTCTGCATTTGGCCCGCCCGAGGGTCTTCTAGGCCAGCAATCGTCGGCATCCATCAAGGCGTACCAAACTTCCGTCCATATATATTCCTTGAAAACGAACAAGTTGGTGGACACTTTGCTGCAATCGCCACAGATACCCATCAGCACAGCCGTTTCCCTGACAAGTCCCATCTTCCAACCTCCCCCTCCCAGCGGCTCCTTGACAATCAAAGCTGATGCAGGGACGGTCATTGTTTGCTCGGGCGTGACTGGTGAGTGTTGGGTGTACTTGCAGCTCCTCGAGCCCCAGAACGAGTCGGTATTTGCATGCGTTGGGAAACTCTGGACATGTACCCAGCAAAGGCGTCGGACCGAGGTTCCAGAGGGCTCTGATAAGGCACACGCCTTTGGCCTTCCCTCACGATCTGCCGACCCAACGTCCATCATAGCGCTCAACGGTCGCTGGATCGCCTATTGCCCTGCGGCGCCATCTTCACAACTATCGCTCAAGGCCCACGTTCCGGTTCCTCTGCTTGGACGATCAAACACCGCTTTGAGTCTCACACCACCCCAGCTGCCCCTTGCAACGGCCTCCGTGGATCTGATTTCGGATAGTATTATGAACAAGATCATGCGGGAGACAACGCAAGAGCTCATCTCTGGTGCCAAATGGGTTGGCCAGCAAGGACTACAGGCGTGGAATGCCTATTGGAACAAATCCTCCAGCCCACAGCCGCAGTCGCAGGCAGTACGACCGCCGCCAGCAGCTCAGTTCCCGCCAACCCATGGTACTCCGGGACAGTCTGCGCCTAAGGAGCCAGGAATTGTGTCCATCGTGGATGCCGAGTCTCTAGCCGTATCGTCGACAGTACACCCAATAACGAGCTTTGTGCCGCCGCAGGGGTGCAGCTTCTTGTCCTTTGCCCCGACCTCCCTCGCGCTGTTCACAGCCAGCAGTAAAGGCGACGTACAGAATGTGTGGGATCTTCTCCGCATCCAATACACCAAATCATCGCCGATCCAGGCTAGCGTTTCACCTGGCGAGAGCGCTGGACCTCAAGTTCGCCAGATCGCACACTTCTCTCGAATGACCGTTGCGCGGGTAGTGGATGTTGTTTGGGCTGAGCCTCACGGAGAGTCCCTCGCTGTGCTCACGGAAAGGGGGACGGTGCATTTGCTTGAGATGCCTTTCAGCGCTTCCATGTGGCCGCCTCCAAGGCGACGCAAGGCTGTCCCGGAAGCCAATCCAGAGACGGCTGAAACGTCGTCGAATTCTGCGGTATCAATCGCTGCAGGTGCTTTTGGCGCTGCTTACCAGGCTGCTCGCCCATTTGTTGCGAGGTCGAGACGAAAGAGTGCGAGTCCTTCAACAGGAAATGCAAATACATTCAAGGATTCTGCAGCGCATGGTGGAAGAGTCATTGCGGCCAGCATTAGTAGTTCGCTGGGTAAAACTGGAACTGCCATAAGTCAACTCCGCAACACAGCTGAGAATCGCGTGTCGCTGCCGTCGAGTCCTTCACCACCAGGGCCATCATCTGTTAGATGGGTTAGGGGACGAAAGTCGCACAGCCTTTATATCCTAGGTGGCGGTGTTATTCGCATCTTCCCCAACAAGGTGCCACGTTCGTCGAGCCAGCCAACCCGACGAGCATCCCGCTATAAAGATATTAATCTACCATCGCTACCCGACGATATGATCGCCCCGGCTATCCGGCAGATCTTGGACCTAGGCATGCCTGATGATGTTTTCAACTTGTCAGATAGGGACCTGGAGGCTGAAAACACCGTGACCCTCCCTCGTCCTCGCATGAGAGCTGACGACCAGAGCTTTGAGGCAGCCATTCCCCAAGCAGAGATCGAATCCAGCGCGCCTTATCAGCCGTTCCATACAGATAGGCGTGTTGCTCTCTGCGAGTACACTCGCCAAGGTGACTCGGGTGGCATGGACTCATTAGTGGCCGACCTTGAAAACGTCGAGATAACAGAGAATTCTCCCCCAAAAAAGAAAAAGGGGAAGCAACAATCTGCACCCCCCAACAATCAAACCAAGAAGGCAGGCATTGTGTCTGCATGGGCCTTTGGACAGGATATTCCAGTCGTGAAGCTTGACTTGGGAATCCTGCCAATAACAGGTGACGATGGATTCGAAGGGCTGGACGACCAAGCTCTCCCTCCATCGGCGATGGAGCGTGTTATGGAGTATGGAGATCAGGAGCAAATTGTAGTCACGACGAGGAAGCGACGAACTGCTCGGCAAGGAGATGCAGAGGGTGACGGCTTCTTTGAAGATGATTGCGAGGTTCTCGATTTTGCTGACCAGAGAGTCTAAGGGTTGAACAGGCATGATTAACCCCATCTATCTTTTAGCTGGCGTATCGTCCCACTTCGGGATCTTGTGTGTTTTACTGGCACTGTTATCGTGGTTCCTTTTCTGGGTTCTCGGTTATTGGAAGGCGTTGTGCGAGTAGCTTATACATGGATCGATGGCTAGCATCGAGATGAACACACCTTACCCCGCGGCTTTGGGAAGTGTTACATAGCTTATTCTTTCTTGGGTTGGTTTGTGATCTTTTGGATTGAAGACTCAGTAGGTAACTAAGTGGCAATACGCTCCTCTATCCTTCCACGTGTGTTTCCCCTGCGCGATTGTGTGGTCCTTATATATGATACGCATCACAGTGACATATATCACCTAGAGATTCCAGATGCGGGATAAGGGCTTAATTTTATGAATTAATTCAAAAGACATGGTGAAGAGTTTCACATGCCACGTCCAGCTTTGATATGAAGCTATCCGCCAAGGACGGAAAGGGCCTCGAATTGATGGCGGTGGTGGTGTGATTGGTCCCGATTCCCATCGAGAGCTCTTTTCATCGACCCATTTACGCCTTCTTCTTCGCGGCCGCCTTGGCCTTTGCTGCCTTCTTCCTGTTGCTGCGGATCATGACAACGCCCAAGAAGGAGCCCACGACAGCGGAACCGACGAGGAGGAGGATGACGGGAATGCGGATGGCCCAGACACGGGGGAGGAAAAAGTTCTGGAGGATGTGGTCGTCATCGACGAACGGCTGCGGAAAAGCTCGAGTTAGCTGGCCCATCTTGGTTTGTTCTCGCTGCTAGGAAATGCCACGAAAGCCAGTGTCGAGGCAGGCGGGGGTGGGCGTGGGTGTGAACGAACCATCAGAAGCGTCCAGACGGTGTAGTAGAGAAAGATGACGGAGGCAGCCACGAGCATGGCGAGGCCGACGAGTCTGTCCAACTAATCGAGGGGGGTGTGGTTTGTTAGCCATGGAGGGGCTTCGTCAACGGGGGGGTGGGAGGCCTGGTTTCACGGGCCGAGTGCGGTGGGGGAAATACCATTGTTGAGAGAGGCGAGGAGCTGTAGAGACAGAGGGTTAGGGAACGAGGCGAATTGATGCGGGAGGAGAGGCGTGGGGTTGATTGCTGGGCAGAACTGGCGACGTAGTTTGATGATGGTGATGCGATTCTCAGGGCCGGCCAGGGGTCAGCTCTAGGTCATTAGCTGGCCAAAATTCGCGAGCCACCAGACGCGACTCAGGGGAGAGACGGTGCAGGTCAAGTGCGGGTCGCATGTGGCGTGTGCTGTGGTGGGTCGTGTGTGGCTGGTAACAAGGCACCTGTCACTTGGCCCGTGCATTAACTTTTTTTCGTGGTTCTACGCAACGCAACACCGTCTGGTGATGCGCCTCCTCTTCGCGATTGCATCCCCTGTATCCAAGCCATCTATCACCCTCTTCGGTCGGAGTGTCTTCTTTCACAGCGCCGCGAAAGAACGTCTAGAGGATCGCGTCCTTAGCATTTCGAGTGCAGATTCAAGGATTCAGCGACGATGGCGTCGGCTGAGGTCGACATCCCCAGTCGCGGACGGCGCGATGGCGGCGACTCGTACAGGCCGTCGGCCCCTCGAGCCCGAACCCCCCCTCCGGTACGGACCGAAGAGGAGAAGCAAGCCGCGGCGAAGGCAGAGTACGAGAAGCTCCTGAACATGCGCTCCGGAGGCACCTACATCCCCCCGGCGCGACTGAGGGCGCTCCAGGCCCAGATCACGGACAAGACCAGCAAGGAGTACCAGCGCATGGCGTGGGAGGCGCTCAAGAAGAGCATCAACGGTCTCATCAACAAGGTCAACACAGCAAACATCAAGTTCATCGTGCCGGAGCTCTTTGGCGAGAACCTCATCCGCGGCCGGGGGCTGTTTTGCCGGTCCATCATGAAGGCGCAGGCGGCCAGTTTGCCCTTCACCCCCATCTACGCGGCCATGGCGGCCATTGTCAACACGAAGCTTCCCACGGTGGGCGAGCTCCTCATCAGGCGCTTAATCATGCAGTTCCGGAAGGGCTACAAACGAAACGACAAGGCCGTGTGCTTGTCGTCGACGACCTTCTTGGCGCACTTGATCAATCAGCAGGTCCAACACGAGATTCTGGCTGGCCAGATCCTCCTAACACTCCTGAACAAGCCGTCGGATGACAGTGTCGAGATTGCGGTTGGCTTTTGCCGCGAGGTCGGGCAGTACCTGGAGGAGATGCAAGCTTCCATCTCGATGGTGGTGTTTGACCAGTTCCGAAATATCCTACACGAGGCCGACATCGACAAGCGAACGCAATACATGATCGAGGTTCTTTTCCAGGTCCGCAAGGACAAGTTCAAGGACAACCCGGCTGTCAAGGAGGAGCTTGATCTGGTTGAGGAGGAGGACCAGGTGACACACAACGTCGAACTTGATGGGACAATCGATGTCCAGGACGGTCTTAATGTGTTCAAATTCGATCCAGACTGGGAGGAGCATGAGGAGGAGTATAAGAAGCTCAAGGCTGAAATCCTCGGCGAGGGTAGCGATGACGAAGACGACGAGGACGATGAGGACGAAAGCTCTGAGGAAGAGGAGGAGGAGGAAGAAACCAAGGCTATGGAGATCAAGGACCAGACGAACGCCGACTTGGTGAACCTGAGGAGAACAATCTACCTCACCATCATGTCCAGCGCTGACCCCGAAGAAGCCGTCCACAAGTTGATGAAGATCAACTTGCCTGCCGGCCAGGAGCCTGAGCTGCCCTCGATGATTGTCGAATGCTGTTCTCAGGAGAAGACGTACACCAAGTTCTTCGGTTTGATTGGAGAGCGTTTCGCCAAGATCAACCGCCTCTGGTGTGATCTCTTTGAGAAGGCATTTGCTACTTACTACGAGACTATCCATCGGTACGAGAACAACAAGCTGCGGAACATTGCCATGCTGTTCGGCCACATGTTTGCTGTGGATGCCCTTGGTTGGCACGCGCTGTCTGTCATTCACCTGAACGAGGATGAAACAACGTCTAGCAGCCGTATCTTCATCAAAATCCTCTTTCAGCACATTGCAGAGGAGACTGGCATGCCCAAGTTGAAGGCAAAGCTGGCTGACGACATGGTACGACCTAACCTGGAGGGACTATTCCCCAGGGACAACCCACGCAACATCCGATTCTCCATCAACTACTTCACCAGTATCGGTATGGGTCTTCTTACCGAGGATTCCCGAGAGTACCTCCAGAACATGCCCAAGCCTGCCTTACCAGCACCTGCGGCCAGGGATGACTCGGACTCTGATTCGGTATCAAGTTATTCATCATACACAGGATCGTCTCGCTCGTCTCGTTCGCGCAGCCCTCGCAGATCTGTTGATCGTGGACGCTCGCTGTCCCGCTCAACGCGAGGAGACAGACGATCCCGGTCCTACTCGGACTCTCGCTCTCGTTCTCGCTCGCGTTCAAGGTCTTACTCAAGGTCTGCCTCTCCTCCTCGCAGGCGGGGGCGAAACCCTTCGCACTCTGCCAGCCCGGCCAGAAAACCGAAGCGCGCTGCCAGCGAGAGTGTGTCTCGGTCGCCCCCGCCTCGTCGAGCCCGGAGTGCTTCATATAGCTCTTACAGCCGATCCCGATCTCCTCCTCCCAAAAGACGAAGAAACTCGTCATCAGCGAGCCCGGTCAGGCGTGGGCGAGACCCCAGTGTTGACTCTCGCCGGGGTAGAAGGAACAGCTCTTCGGTGAGCAATGGCCCACGAAACGGCGCAAGACCTGGAGGCCGATCCCCGTCATACGACTCCCGATCACCTCCACCGCGCCGGGCCAGACGGAACAGTTCCTCTCCTCCAGCCCGGAATGCTAGGAGGGATTCCTACTCTAGATCCCCCACCCCTCCCCGACGAGGTGAGCGGGACAGATCGGCGTCTGTCGACTCGAGGGCGCCGAGGAAGCGATCAGTTAGTCCGATACAAGGAAAGAGGAGGCGACACAGTAACAGCGTGTCGAGGTCGCCGCCGCCCATGAAGAAGGGCCGCAGGGGGAACTAGAATGAGTTATCATAGCGGGAGATGGTTATTTTTTTAAAGTATAATTTGTTTAGAAGCTGGGATGTATATCAATAACTACGGACTGCAGCCAAGTTGCTGAATGCTATTCATGAATATTCTATTTAATCCCGTCTATACTGACATTCGTGATTTGTTCGTTTGGGAGATTTTGCTTTATTTGGTGTTCCTTCATAAGGCAAATGCCCCCTTGGACTAACCACTCAAAGGTTTCGCTCGATACTAAGGGATGGTCCCGGAGCTCCGATGTACGTATACTTGAGCTCCCTCGCTGCGATCTTCCCGCTGACTTCCACCGTCTCCGTTTCGCCAGGCATCAGGTCGAAGCCGTTGTTGCTCAACTTCAAGCCTTCCGTCTCCTCGAAGACGAAACCTTTTACGGGGCGCGAGGCCTGGACAGTGAGCTGCTTCCCGGTGGAGGAAACTTCAACGTTTAGGCCTCGATCGGGAAAGTCGAGGTATTTCAGGGGTTCGGGCCAAGCCGAGTCGGTGGCGATGACCTGGCCGTTGGCTGATATCGACACGTGGATGACGTAGGGATCATATTGGGACAGGTCAAAGGTCCGGGTTAGATCTTCGGGATCGGGGATGGAGGCCGGACAGGGCGCAGAATCGATGATGGTTGTCGTGGCGTTGGGGGAAGCAGTCACTCTCTGTCTGATCTCGCCATGGACCTCCGCCCCTGAGCGAACGGAGATGAAGCTGACCGTCACGGAGAGCTCTACGGGCTCGGTGCGGCTGCTTGCGATCCAGACGTCGAATGTCCCCTTTCTTGCTGCGAGGGTGTGGTCAACCTGCCCGGTCTTCAAATCAGACTTCTCATCTACGAAATCATGCGTGGAAGTCCAGTCATGTACTGTCCGCATCACTCCCACATCGAGGGGACGCAGAGCCCGAGAGATGGCATAGAATCCCGGCTTGGGGACGAGGTAGTAGTCAACGACAGCCCAGGACACGGTGGG